CTAGCTTGTGTACCCCCTAAAGGCTAACCCACTATAGCCTACACAACAAAAACACATATAGTGTTTGGCACACCCCCATTGGCAAAGTGCGGGAGAGCAAGGGGTCACAAGACCAGTCAAGAGAGGCAAGCAAGCTCAGGGTGGATCACAACGTCACCACACATTCCGAGCACAAACAAAGGGCCATATGGCCAGTTCACATACAGAAGTATATATGCAGCACAAACCACAAGTGTGATATCAACCTAGCAAAGCAGACAAGTAGGAGTATATATATAGAGATCACAATACAGGTAAAGTTTACAATAGGTGAGGAAAAGTGGGCACCAGCCCCAGCAAAGTACTGAAGCGCTCATGATCACCAGGCTGAAGTGCCTTGGTGAATATATCAGCGGTGTTGGCCTGTGAGGCCTCGTAACGCAGACGAAGTTGACCACGCTGCTGCAGCTCTCGAGCGAGGACGTAACGAAAAGCAATGTGCTTCTATCTGTGCTCCAGTCTGTGCTCCTCACACAAGGCAATGGCAGCCTTGTTGTCTACCTACAGCACTGGAGGAGAACTAGGCCGCTCTCCCAGGTCGGTCAGCAGGTAGGTGAGCCAGCGTAACTCCTGTGCAGCCATGGCCCCGGCGTAGATCTCATCCTCACAACAAGAGCTGAGAACTGAAGACGAATGTGTAGAGCGCCACGAAAGTGAGCTAGAGCCAATGTTGAAGGTGTAACCCTGTGACGACCGGTGAGTAGCCTGGTCGTCAACCCAAGAAGCGTCTGAGTGCCTAATGAGAACAACTGGGCTCCCTCCTGCCAGCCCGAGCCCCATGCCCGATGGACTACACAAGTAGCGCAAGACCCTCTTTGCAGCATCCCATTGCACCTTTCGGTGCCTGCTAGGAGCCACGTAGCGGGCTAGAAGGCCAAGAGGTCATGCTAGGTCAGGACGAGTGCAAGTCATAAGGTACATGAGGCAACCAACTTGCTCTGGGTAAGGACCACTGGACTCTACGGACTCATCCGACAGCAGAGCTAAGAGCGAGTGACCTGTAGCCAGAGGAGTGGCCTGTGCTGAGGACCATGTGAAGCCGAAGCGCTGAAGGACCTGCTGCACCATATGTGACTGAGTCAGGGTAATGGTAAGGCGTGTTCTGTCCCGGGTGATCTGCAAGCCAAGGTAGCTGCGCAGTTCACCATGTCTGTGCACGTGTGTCTCTTCTACAGCTCCGACTTCACGTGGGCGAGAGCCTGAGTGTCAGCAGCGGCAAAGACCAAGTCGTTGACGTACACGAGGATGTAGAACGGCGGCAGCGAGGTAGCGGTGCGCAGAAACAGTAACGGGTCAGCAGTAGAGGGCGCGAACCCAAGTGCCGCCACACTAGTCCTCAGTGTGTCATGCCACTCACGTGGCGCCTGGTGGAGACCGTAGACTGGCCGCCGGAGGCTCCACTGGGTACCAGGAGGAAACGACCCAGTGAAGCCAGGAGGGCGGCGCAGCCAGATCTCCTCGTGCAGGCTGCCCTGCAAGAAAATTGTGCTGAAGTCAAGAGAGTGAAGCTTGTAGTCACGCTGAGCAGCAACATGCAGTAGCACCCGAAGAGTGGTCATCTTCGGGGTGGGGGAGAAGGTCTGAAAGAATTCTACTCCCTCTCATTGACTGAAGCCTCGATCAATGTAACGAGCCTTGAAGACACGCGGAGAACCCGGTGGCTGCTTCACCCTGAAAATCCACATGCCACTGACGATGTTCGCTCCTGGAGGGGGAACCTCGTCAACGTAACTGCCTGTGGACTTCCAAGATGCCATCTCTGCATCCACGGCTGACTGCCACTGAGAGGAGTACTCACCCGCGATCGCCTTAGCGTACGAGCGCGGGGTCGGGATATCTGGAGCATCCGGGCCTCCCTCAGGGGCAATCAGCATGGACACGAGATGAGGTGCCGCGACTGCAAGAAACTCAAGGTCCTCCTGTCTGTCCTCAAGGACGTCCGTGCATAGAGCACACTCACCTCCGACGGATGGAGGACAGACGGACTCCGACTCGGCAACAAGACTGGCAGCGTAGTCTAGACGACAGTGAGCAGCAAAGTCGACAAGCTCAGCAACTAGGGAAGACGCAGCAGGAGACTCAAAAGAAGGGTCAGTGACAATAGTGGCCAGGAGACGCGTGACAGTAGGACTGGCAGCATGAAGAGAGTGAGACTCCGGGTCAGCAAGGATAGGAAGACAGGACTCTAGAGGAGATAGCAGAGGGACACGCTGCGGAGCAGAGGAAGGACGCAGAGTCATATGGTGTGTGCCAGGCACACATTTTAAAACAGTTGCTGCTTCGTTTGTTTGTTGATCTTTTGCCTTCCGAGGGCCAACCATATCCATTTAGTGTGAATCTTAGGTCTTTCATCGCAAAAGAGGCACAGTAGTGTTGTGATCTTTACGTTATCCATTGCAGTTCAGTTTTTCGATAGCTGTATAAATGGTCACTTTATGTAATTGTGTTATTGCTGTCAAATTTGTACATCATATTGTCAAATGTTGTAGTCTTAGTGATGTGTGTCATAGGGGGTACAACTCTTAGGGTTAAGTTTATGTACCCCAACCAACATTGTGAATGCAACGCTTTCATTCTGGACACATATACATATGTAAAACTGGTCACTGTGAGTCTTCTTACGCAGACGACGCTGAGACTCACAAGTCTACGCAGGGGTATTGTTTCAGCCTGGGTTATGGAGCTGTTTCGTAGAGGTCCACGCGTTCCACCTCGGTCTCGACCTCTAACGCTGAGGCTGAGATCTACGCCTCTGCCATGGCTGCATAGGAGCTGCGTTGGTTGACATTCTTGCTCGCCGACCTTGGTGAGCGGCCGAGCTCTGCACCGACCTTGTTCACTGACAACAAGGCATCGATTCTCCTCTGTCAAGAGCCGCAACTGGAGAGCAAAGTGAAGCACATTAACATCAGGTACTTTCTTATGCGAAAGTTGCGAGGACGTGGACAGGCTCGTTTCGAGTGTGTAGAGTCCGAGGCCAACACTGCAGACATCTTCACCAAGGCGCTTCCGCCTTGTGACCACCAGAGGTGCTGTCTGCAGTTAGGCCTTGTTGAGATAGGCTCTCGTCGTGTGTAGATTGAGTATTCTGCTTGCTTTGCTTGTACACTTTGCTTATATCTTTGTGAACTCTTGGACTGGCCTTGTGGCCTCTTTTGTTTTTGCTCAGAGTATGTGGTGGCGTTGTGATCCACCTTGAGCTTTGTTTCTTTATGACCGGTCTTGTGACCGTAAACTTTTGGTTTTGCTTGACACCCCTCACTTAGACTACGGGGGTGTGTCAAATGTTGTAGTCTTAGTGATGTGTGTTATAGGGGGTACAACTCTCAGGGTTAGGTTTATGTACCCCAACCAACATTGTGAATGCAACACTTTCATTCTTGACACATATACATATGTACAACTGCCTGTAGTATTAGCTGTAGTGTATTGTTTTTGACGAAAAATGAGAATGGATGAATGAACTATGAAACAGTTGGGTACAAGTACTAACCCTAATTGGGTTGTACCCCTTATGGGCTACCCCACTACAGCCTACACAAATGTATAAGCTATAATGTTCGGACACATCCCCATAGGCAAAGTGGGGGAGAACAAGTGGTCACAAGACCAGTCAAGCAAAGCAAAGCAAGCTCAGGGTGGATCACAAAGTCACCACACAATACGAGTACAAGAGGAAGGCCACAAGGCCAGTTCACATGCAAGAACATATATATAAAGGTAAACAAGCAAGTGCAAGTATAGGAAGAGTACAGTACAAACAAGATCAAGAAGTGAGCAAGTGAGGCCAGGTAGGCACAAGACCTAGCAAAGTACAGAAGCGCTGATGATCACAAGGCGGAAGGGCCTTGGTGAAGATATCACCAGTGTTGGCCTCAGAGGCCACGTAGGTGAGACAGAGCTGACCATGCTACTGCACCTCACGAGCCAGGAAGTAGCGGAGAGCAATGTGCTTCGTTCTGTGCTCCAATCTGTGCTCCCTACACAAGGCCAGCATGGCCTTGTTGTGTACGTACAGAACTAGAGGAGAACGAGGCGGCTCTCCAAGGTCAGTCAGCAAGTAGGTGAGCCAGGGTAGCTCCTGTGCAGCCATGGCCCCTGCGTAGATCTCAGCCTCACAGCTGGAGCTGAGAACAGAAGATGAGCGGGTAGACCGCCACGAAACAGAGCCGGAGCGAAGGCTGAAGGTGTAACCCTGTGACGACCGCTGCACAGCCTGGTTGTCAGCCCAAGAAGCGTCAGCGTGACCTGTGAGGACTACTCGACGTCGCCCTCCAAGCACTAGCCCCATGCCCGACATACTGCACACGTACCGCAACACCCTCTTCGCTGCAACCACGTACTCTGGTCTGTGTCTCCCAGAAGCAACATAGCGTGCCAAGATGCTAAGAGGGTATGCAAGGTCAGGTCGTGTGCAGGTCATCAGGTACATGAGGCAGCCAACAAGCTCTGGGTATGGGCCACTCGACTCTACGGACCCATCCAAAGGCAGAGCTGATAGTGAGTGGCGAGTAGACAGAGGAGTGGCCTGAGGCGAGGAGTACGTGAAGCCGAAGCGCTGAAGGACCTGCTGCACCATGTGTGACTGAGTCAGGGTAATGGTGCGCTGTGCTCCGTCCCGGGTGATTTGCAAGCCAAGGTAGCTGCGCAGTTCACCCAGGTCTGTGCACGTGTGTCTCTTCTGCAGCTCCAACTTCACGTGAGCGAGAGCCTGAGTGCCAGCAGTGGCAAAGGACCAAGTCGTTGACGTACACGAGGATGTAGAACGGCGGCAACAAAGTATCGGTGCGCAGAAACAGCGACGGGTCAGCAGAAGAGGGCGCGACCCCAAGTGCCGCCACAGTAGTCCTCAGTGTGTCATGCCACTTACGTGGCGCCTGGCGGAGACCGTAGACTGGCCGCCGGAGGCTCCACTGGGTACCAGGAGGAAACGACCCAGTGAAGCCAGGAGGGCGGCGCAGCTAGATCTCCTCGTGCAGGCTGCCCTGCAAGAAAGCTAGGCTGAAGTCAAGAGAGTGAAGCTCGTAGTCACGCTGAGCAGCAACATGCAGTAGCACCCGAAGAGTGCTCATCTTCGGGGTGGGGGAGAAGGTCTGAAAGAAATCTACTCCCTCTTGTTGACTGAAGCCTCGATCAACGTAACGAGCCTTGAAGACAGGCGGAGAACCCGGTGGTTGCTTCACCCTGAAAATCCACATGCCACTGACGATGTTCACTCCTGAAGGGGGAACCTCGTCAACGTAAATGCCTGTGGACTTCCAAGATGCCATCTCTGCATCCATGGCTGACTGCTACTGAGAGGAGTACTCACCCGCGATCGCCTCAGCGTACGAGCGCGGGTTCGGGATATCTGGAGCATCCGGGTCTCCCTTAGGGGCAATCAGCATGGACACGAGATGAGGTGCAGCGACTGCATGACACTCAAGTTCCTCCTGTCTGTCCTCAAGGACGTCCGTGCATAGAGCACACTCACCCCCGACGGACGGAGGACAGACAGACTCCGACTCGGCAACAAGACTGGCAGCGTAGTCTAGACGACAGTGAGCAGCAAAGTCGACAAGCTCAGCAACTAGGGAAGACGCAGCAGGAGACTCAAAAGAAGGGTCAGTGACAATAGTGGCCAGGAGACGCGTGACAGTAGGACTGGCAGCACGAAGAGAGTGAGACTCCGGGTCAGCAAGGACAGGAAGAGAGGACTCTCGAGGAGATAGCAGAGGGACACGCTGCGGAGCAGTGGAAGGACGCAGAGTCATATCGTGTATGCCAGGCACAGGTGGAGGACGCTCACGCGTACCTCGGCGACCAGTACGCGCAGCACGAATAGGTGACACAGGACGCGACACAGGCGACACAGGACGAGACTCAGGCTCACGACGCTCCGTAAGACCGCCTGTAGGACCAGTGTAGGGAGAAGGACCAGGAAGTGGCGAGGCAGGTGGGGGCTGGGACTGCGACTAGACAGGCGGAGGACACTCTAAGGAGGGAGGAGGACTAGGAGGAGGCGGCTGACCAAGAACCTGCTGAAGGAGAGGAGGAAAGTACGGCCGCGGCTGTGAAGCGCCCCCAGAACCAGCAGAGACAGCACCAAAACCCCTAGCCGAACCAGCACCAGCGGCACCTCCAACAGCTCGAGAGCCTCCACCAGCACCGGCAGCACCTCCAGCAGCTCCAGAACCTCCAGCAGCACCAGCAGCACCTCCATGACCTCTAGTAGGACCAGCAGCACCTCCAGGAGTAGGGCCTCCAGCCGACGGTTCCTCAACGCTAGGAGCTCCACTCCTGAGGCTGCAGCGCCGAGCGTACCACTCACGTAGCCGTCGAGGGGAGGGAGGCTTTGGCTGCGGCACTACACCTGCGAGGCCACTAGCCCAAACTCCAGCCGACCCCCCAGCTCCAGCAGCCCCACGACGGAGGCTGTAGCGCTGAGAGTACCACTCACGCAGCTGCTGTGAAGAGGGAGCACCACCAGGCTTGGCACCCCAAGTCTCAGCACCCCCAGTCGCAACACCTCCAGGCTCAGCACCCAAAGTCTCCATACCCCAGGTCTAGCACCCTTAGTCTCCGCACCCCCAGGCTCAGCACCCCCAGTCTCCGCACCCCTAGGCTCAGCAACCCCAGTCTCAGTGCCCCCAGACCCAGCACCACCAGGCTCAGTACACTCAGTACCTCGCGCAGGACCAGAGTCAACAGCTACCTCGATAGGCTCGACCGAGTCTACCTGGGAAACACCTGAGGGGAGCAGCACCCTGGGGAGGGAGGGGGGTCTACCGACGGGACACCTGGGGTTAGGAAGAGCGGCGGGGGGGGGGGGGAGCGGGGCAGTGCGGTAGGGGAAGAAACGGTAAAAGGGTATCGACTCGTCAAAGTGTGACGTCCTGAGAGGCGAAGACCTGGCGCGAGGTGGGGTGGTAAAACTGCCAGCCATGCGCGTCAGGGACAAAGCCAAGGAAGACACAGGGAACGGCACGGGAGGAGAGCTTGTCCGCGGACGTATCGCGGACAAAGGCTCGACATCCCCAGACGCGGAACACCAACGCATCACCAACCTCCCCCGTCGAACGCAAGGTCGGCGAGGTCTCCGGAACAGAGATTCGGGGCCAGAGGTTGAGCTGACGCGCGGCGTACTGCACTAGAAACGGCCAAATGAAATGGGGGGCAGCCGCATGGATCATGGAGGTACGAGCGACCTCCATGACAAGACCAATGCGGCGCTCAGCAACCCCATTCTGTTGCGGAGAGGCCGGGAGAGTGAACGTCTGGCGGATGTCGTGGTCCGCACAGAAGGCTGCCAAGAGGTCAGAGGAAAACTTGCCACCTCTGTCAGAGTGCAGACGTAGGACAGGAAAGTTCGACTAGAACCTATGGCGGAGCTGAAGACGAGCAGCGCGGATCCAGGTGATCAAAACATCAGGGACCTCACCCTTGGTACGTAAGAGGAAGACCGTGGTGTAGCGCGTGTAGTCGTCGACAACCAGCAGAAATTACCGCTCGTGGCCCTATCTCCGGACGAGGGCGGGGCCCCACATGTCTAGGTGGAGAGTCCGCAGGGGAGCCCCTGTGGAAGGGAACGAGGAGGAGTGAGGAGCGGCGCGCTGTCGCCCTCGACACAGGGAAGACAGGGAGGAGCAGGTGAGGGTGGTAGGGGAGGGAGAACTCTAGGAAGACCAGAGACAAGGTACCTGGAGTGCATGCCACGAAGGCGCTGCACTAACGGGTGACCAAGGCGGTGGTGCACAGGATAGTCTGGTGCGACAGGGGAGCGACACGAGCAGGGGGCCGACAGCTGACCTGACGCAGACGTAGATGCAGCTACCTGAGGGGACTCAGTGGTCAGTGTGTACAAGTTCGACCCCGGCTGCCGAGCGAAGGT